AACTCAGTACTTGTCAGGACAGCATGCCGCGCACACACACACCGCTCAGCACACAACACAGTACTTCATGAACACTAACAGTAGAAAACAGGGCAAGATCCCTGGCTCCTCCGATCCTATGCTTCTTGAATCCCCCTCTAGGTCACCTAAGTCCAAACGCTTACTAGCAAAGTACTGGGGACGAGGACTTGGCTTAGTCTCAGAGCACTTACTTGAACAAAGCCTGTCGGGACACGGACAAAAGACTGAGGCATGGTGAACAATGCCTTGAGGAACGTGAGAGGGGCTGCAGGAGAAAAGGCAGAGGGCCTTTTACCTCAGGTGCATTTTGTTCCCTGGACTGTGCTTGGATGTGACTTCTTGCCTCCTTCGATTTATAAGACATGTTTATTCTTGTTAGATGTCAGAACATGGCTGTAGATTCCAATCTGTTCAGTGTGCCCTGAGTCTGGATACGGCCTTCTGCCCTGCTTTCCTGCTTCCCCAGACAGAATCCATAGTATGTGCCAGGCAACTGTGTTTACATTGATTTGTCCTGAGAAAGTTCTGGAAAAGGGGCTACTCTGTCAATATTTAATATATGCTTACTGGCGTTTATTTACATGTTTTTCTGAACTCAAACAACCTGCCTTGGATCATTGCTTTCTGTGTTTCATTCGTGTATAAAAGTCCACAGAAACTGAAGTGAGGTTGTCTACAGCATTAGACTGTAGTCCGCCCCATTCTTTCAAGCCCTCGGATCCCAGGTCCAGCAGACAAGATATACACAGGTTGGATGAAAGGTCAACAAGGCCCTAGGTTGATCCCCAGCACTTCAAACAAACAAACAAACAAAAAGACTTATTCCGTAATTCAATTCTTTGGATCTCCAAGCTAAAGGCATTTGGAAGAAGCAGAGTTATCTGGAGAACTGCTTGAACTTCCCACTGTTATTTTACTCCTTCTTGGTTGGTGTGAACTTGCAGTCCTATCTCCAAAACCAGCCAATGCTCACCCATTTGGGGGGCAATCAGGTGACCCTGAAAGAGTGAGGCTTGCCCAACTCCTGAGACCGGCTGGGGCGGTAATGCAGAGCCCAGCTCGAACATCCAAGGCTCCAGGGGCTTCAACAATCCTCCACGCAGCCGGTCTGACATCAGTTCAGCCCCTCCTCTCTCTTTTCTCCCTGCAAATATCCCACTCGACTCCACTCTGCTGTTTCCTTCGGATTAAGGACATGATATCCTGAGTGTATGATCCAGCACTAGAAATAGCTCCAAGGAAGGCCAGATACTATTTTAAACATGACAGGAGCTGTGTGCTATGCCTGGCAACACAGTGCCAGAACCTAGTCCTGATATTATGATTTTTGTCTTTGTAATTAAATATATATATTAATATATATTAATATATATATATATATACTAATAATATTTAGCTGTTCCCCTGAGGTTTGGCCTGATGTGGTTTCTACAGTATTCCATCCACACAAGCATCTGGTGACCACGTGGCACCTGTTAATATGTAAATATTGCCTGAGTGACAAGTTGGCAGGTTCCCGTCATGACAACTGCATACATTTTTTTTATCATGAATTACTTAAAAGTAAGCACAGAATATCTATTATCCATTGTGCTTTAAAAAGTGTTTCTGAGAATGATTTGACATTTAACATGTATTTTCTTAATCCAATGTATCACATCTGAACTGGGGACACAGATCAGTGGCAGAACACCGGCCTCACAAGTTCAGGATCCTGGACTTAGTCCCAGCACTTCAGAATTAAGTACCAAGTCCTCAGAGAGCTGTTGGTGGAACTTGGCAAATGGTGAGCAGCATCGGTCACCGTGGAAAATCCTAAGCGGAGAAACACTACCTGAAATGTGGTCACCAGCCCCCTCACTAAGCATGGTGCTCCACCCACTCTCCAAAACGTCTTTCCTACTCACTGGTTTCAACAAATCACACGCAGGCTGTGGGCAGACTTCGTTAACGCTCTCTGAAACCTGATCTAAGTCTGAAATTAATCACTGGTGAGGTGTGTTCTTCCCCACCTTGTTTATTAGGTCTTGGGACTCATAAAGCCCAGATTCAAATCCTGGCTTTAAAATTAACAGATATGTGGCCCTGGGTAAGCTGCTTAAAATGGGAGCAATAACGGTTCTTACTTCATTGAGTTGTTACAAGGGCATCCTAATATACAAAAACTGAGACAACTAGGGCTAGACACAGTAGTCATTATTATTATCTTGGACAAAATCAGTATACTTACTATTGTTTTTACAAATGAATAGATCGGATGCTTCAATAATAAATAAATTTAGCTCCTTAGAACCAAGTACTATACAGAGGAAAAGTGGTTGTTTTTTTGTTTTTGGTTTTTCGAGACAGGGTTTCTCTGTGTAGCTTTGCGCCTTTCCTGGAACTCACTCTGTAGCCCAGGCCGGCCTCGAACTCACAGAGATCTGCCTGCCTCTGCCTCCCAAGTGCTGGGATTAAAGGCGTGCGCCACCGCCTTTAATCATATTACTTTTATACTTTTTTTTTCTAATAAAGGGAAGCCCTGTGAACAGATATTTCAAATCATTTCATGAGTAATAACCATCAAATCTTCATGCTATTTATCCGGTTCTCTTTCTTAGTAATACTCTCTGAGAGTCAAGCTTGACATCATTTCTTGAGCAAGAATAAGAAACAACGGAAACCTCTAGGTGGCGGCCATTGGCCATCCATACCTGGCTCACTTCGGAAGCTGCACTTGGGGCGTGTTCCGCGGCCCCTGTTGCCTCTTCAGGGGTCATTTCAAAAGATGCGGAGACACCCACAGAAGACAGTCACAAGAGCTCCTCCCAGGAGAGCTGCAGGGCTCAGACGCAAACAACCCCCAGGAGCTGCTGCAGGAAGCTCTAGCCCCTCAGAACCAGGGAACCACCTTTCTCCATTGCAACTCTAACCAAAGGCAACCGAATCGCACCAAAACACGTGCACTGCTAAAGTCACCCCTAAGAGCTGGGCAGGGTGGTGCAAAGGCAGGCGGATCTCTGTGAGTCCCAGGCCAGCCTGGTCTACACAGCAAATCAGCCTGGGCTACACTGGGAGACCCTGTCTCAAAAAAACAAATCAAAAGAAACAAACAGTTATCACTAACGCGCCACAGCACACCCAAGTGCTTTCTTTCAGAGCTTCTTACCCTCCTTACTCTGAACAAGGGTAAAGCACTAATAAACACGCTGTGTGTATCTGCTATGGGTGTCTACTCTGAGCTAGCCGGCAAGCACAGGAGTCAGCCTCAGTCACATTATTTGGAAATTATTTTACACAATACTCTAATACTACTACTTTTGAAAGAATGGATGGGGGGTGGGAGGGGGGAGAACAAGGGAATCCGTGGCTGACATGTAAGATTAAATTAAATTATAAAATAAAAAAAAAGAAAGAAAAAATGGATGAACCACGGTCCTCTTTGCTATCCTTACTCACAGATCCTTCTTTTTATATTCTAGTATTCCCATGCCACTCTTTAGTCCTTAGGAGTGTTTCAAGACTTACTGTAGGGGGCTGGAGAGACTACTCAGCAGTTGAGAGCACTGGCTGCTCTTCCAGAGGACCCGGGTTCAATTCCCAGCACCTACATGGCAGCTCACACCTGTCTGTAACTCCAGTTCCAGAGCTTCTGACACCCCCACACAGGCATACATGCAGGTAAATGTGTAAAATTTATGAGCATAAAATAAAAATAAATTATTTTTTAAAACAAAGACTTATTGTAAAAAGCATTCTAAATCACACGGCTGTCTGATCCACACGAACAGTTTAAAACCTTTAAACACGAAAACAAGCATGCACTGTGCATACCAGCACACACACACACACACACACACACACACACACACAACCATTTATTCTGGTCCCACTAACTCAGAACTAGTGGTAACACAAACCATCCTTCGCATTTCAATCTGAATTATCTAACTGTGGCTTGTTAAACAACTGGAAAGATAAGAAGAGATGAATGATTTAAGGTTTCAAGTCATCCTTCTCACTGTTCTTCAACAGCATTGATTGTCTTACATGTAATTTATACTGTTACAATAAACATGAAAAATGAGTCCCATCATGGTATCAAGCAAGTCTATCAACACCAACCATAATTAACAAATACTAATGCACACTGCTAAGATATTTGCCTTTCATTTCACACAACTTATCTGTAGGCTGAGTCCCTACTACCAAGTAAGATGAGGCAGAAAGATTTCTTGAGTTCAAGAGTTCAAGATCAGCCTGACCATCTGACCATGTAGTCAATGCTTCATTCTTTCAACCCAGATGGTCTTCTTTTGGTTTGTTTGTTTGTTTGTTTGTTTGTTTGTTTGTTTGTTTTTGAGACAGGGTCATTATCCCTGTATGTGTGGGCACGTGTGAGTACACTCACACATGTACCAAAGTGTGTGTGTGTGTGTGTGTCTGTAGGTCGGAGGACAACCTCTGGCATCGGTCCTTGCTTCTACCTTGTTTGAAACAAGGTCTTTCTTGCTGTTCGTTGCTGTGTATTCCAGGCTAGCTGGCAGACGAGTGGGCTTCTGGCAATTCTCCTGCCTCTGCCTGCCATCTCCCAGTAGGGGCATGCTAGGATTACAGACTCATGAGATAGTGCAGCTGACTTTTATTTGGGTTCTGTGGATCCCAACTCGGGTCAACAGGTTTACAGTGCAAGCGTTTGACCCCTGAGTCATCTCTCCAGCCTTCCACCTGACCTTTAGAGACAGGGCCTCTCGATGAACCTGGAGCTCACTGATTCAGCTAGACTGGCTGACCCAGGGATCCTCCTGTGTCTCGGCCTTCCCAGCATTGAGATTACAGGCATGTGCTGCCATGCCCAGCTTTTTTATACGAGTTCTAGGGTATCAAACTCGGGTCCTTGTGTTTGCACAACAGCACTCCGCTGACAAAGCCAAGCTCCGCCCCACCCCCATCATAGCCTGGTATCCGCTGTACATAGTGAGATATCAAAAGGTGCTTACCTCCGAGTCTTTGGTCTGCTGATTACGAATGACTATCAGATTGTACAAGATCCTGTCATCATCTGCCTCTGTGTGGGACACATCATGAGGCATGCTCCATAAATTCTTCTCGTCATCCCTGTCTAGAGTTGCTCCAAATGAGGAATACGGATTGTTACCACTGTGAAATAAAGAAAGCAAGCATAAGGATTTTGTTATATGCATGCATTATATATTATATACCTTATATATGTACAACATGTTATATATCACATATGTATATTTTACAATATAAATGAAAACACGTAAATGATAACAAAAAGGATCTGTTATTATTTTTAATAATTAAGCATAAACACAATATAATTAACAAAATTAATTAATTTCTTATTTATTTATTTATTTTTGGGGTTTTTTTTTTTTTTGAGACAGGGTTTCTCTGTGTAGCCTTGGCTGTCCTGGGACCAGGCTGGCCACGAGCTCAAAGATCCACCTGCCTCTGCCTCCCGACTGCTAGGATTAAAGGCATGTGCCACCACCTCCCAGAAGTTAATCACTTTAAAAATAGCCAAGACGGGATGACAATATGGATCAGCAAATAAAGGTCTTGTGTCAAGTGTGATGTCCAGAGTCCAACCCCTAGAATTTACACATAGGAGAGAACCAACTCTACAAGTTCAACTCTGACCTGTACAAGTGCACTGTTTTAAATAACATAAACCAGCCAGGTGGGGCGGCCCATGCCTGTGATACCAGCACTGGGGGGGGGGGGGGGCAAAGCAGCACAATCTCACATATTCAAGGCCAGCCTGGACCACTCAAGGAGACTCTGTCCTCCCAAACCAAGATCACATAAAATAAAATAGGTAAGGAATAATAATAATAAAAACATTAGAAAACTGATATAATCACATATAGAGACAAGAAGCAATTACTACAGCTAAGTATGAAATTCAGCACTAGGCATCCCAACCAAAAATCAACACGAAGAAATGAACTTTTACTGGCTTTGAGGTCACAGACACAGAATAAACTTGAAGTGTGACTGACACTATAGCACAATGGGAGAGTACTTACCTAGCATGTGCTAGGCCATGGGTGCAGTTCCTAGCAACACACACACACACACACACACACACACACACACACACACACACACACACAAGACTGGGGTTGGAGAAATCACTCAGTAGTTAAGAGCACTGGCTGCTCTTCCAGAGGACCCAGGTTCAATTCCAAGCACCCACATGATGACTTACAACCACCTGTAGCTCCAGTTCCAGGGGACCCAACAACAACCTTTTTGACTTCCAAGGGTACCAGGTCAAATACATGCAAGAAGACAAAATACCCATACACATTTGTTTGTTTTTAACTGGGGCCAAGGACAGGGGTGCACACCTTTAATCCCAGCACTCCCGAGGCAGAGGAATGTTTATCTCAATGAGTTTGAAGCTAGCCTGATCTACCTGGCAAGTTCCAGGCCAGTCAAGGATACATACATAGTGAAACAAAAACAAAAACCACTTGCTGCACCAGGCTGAGGACCAGAGTTCGAATCCCCAGAACCGAGGTGAAAGCCGGGTGGGAATGGCAGCCTACCTGTAATTCCAGCTTCAGAAGAGGCAGACAGGAGATCCCTAGAGCAAGCTGGCTAGCAAGACTAGCCATAATATTGGCACATCTGTGCCTGACTGAGAGACTCTGCCTCATCAAAAAAGGTGGGAGCGTAACAGAGGATGAGCTGACATAAATGCTGGGCCTCCATATGCATTTGCACCCACAACCTGCATGCCCACATACATGTATGTATGCCTATACACACACACACACACACACACACACACACACACACACACACACACACGGAGAGGGAAAGTTCGGTTGCTTGTTTTGTACTTTTGTTTCACGATTTTTTTCCTTTACAAGGTCTACCCATGGTGGTATGCCCGTACGGAGCCTTAGTTAACTTCTGAAGGACAGGACAAACAGGGCCACCCATACGGGAGCTACTCACTTCCTCTAATAACATGTATGAAATATGATGACACCTTAATCACGGGACTCAGTAAAACTGTGGATATGGGCATGATCCTGTCTCTGGTCCTCACTAGAACCAAGAACAGGAAATTTCTGCTGGATGATCACAAGGCTATCTAATTAAAGACTATGGTGTGTGCTGTAAAGGGGGGCATTGTGAGGAGCACACCTATGATGGATACCAGAAGACCCTAGCAGCAGTGGACATCGGGCAGGCATAATACAGAAGTCATGTTAGAACTGTAAGGAGGCACCGGCAAGGGAGGCCTATGAGGAAACTTGGGGGCGACCCTGGAAGAAAGGGAACACTAGCCGGGCGGTGGTGGTGCACGCCTTTAATCCCAGCACTCGGGAGGCAGAGCCAGGCGGATCTCTGTGAGTTCGAGGCCAGCCTGGACTACCAAGTGAGTTCCAGGAAAGGGCACAAAGCTACACAGAGAAACCCTGTCTCGAAAAACCAAAAAAAAAAAAAAGGAACACTGGTCAGAAAAATGAGGGAGGCTGGGGAGGCAGCCCAGGGCTAAAGACACGGGACTCCGTGGGCCATGCACCTAACACGTTTCTGGGGTAGAGTTACTCGTCATGAGCAAAGGCAGGATTGTAATGAGTGAGGCATGAGCAGCATCAACATCTTTAAAAGCTCTTCCCAGGTTAAGTGTGGGGAACGCCCGAGAGACGTCAGGAGAAGACTCAACAGGAGCTAGGCATGGGCACAGGCCTGCAATCCTAGGACATGGGAAGCTGAGGCAAAGAATCATAAACTCAGGGCAGCCTGAGCTGCAGAGCAAGCTTGAGGCCAGCCCGTGTCACACAGAGATACTGTGTGTGTGTGTGTGTGTGTGTGTGTGTGTGTGTGTGTGTGTGTGTAAAAAGAGGAGTAAGGGGGAGGAGAAAACAAAGATGGCATTGAGGTGTGCAAGGCCCTGGCTTGATCCCTAGCACCAGAATGCACAGATCCATACGTAAGCAAGTTAGATAACTCAAGTGAGAGACGGTAGAGGGCAGGATTTGAATGTCAGTGTGCGGCTGGTGAAAAGTGTGCTATCCATGACCGCACACCCCAGAAGTAGGGTGTTCAAGCTGAACTCAGTAGGAGAGGGCTGTAAGGGCATGGGAGGAGTCAAGCCCACCCTGAGCTCCGAGTTATTTACCTGGACAAAGAGTGATACTATTTTGAGGCAGAATGAGAAAGGCCAGAGGCCGTGGGATAGCAAGTACGTCTAAGTGTGTAACATGAGGGTACGGCAAGTGAAAATGTACAGAAGACATCCAGAAAAACAGAAGGACCTGGGAAGGGATGGGGGATGAGAGTAAATGATGGGTAGGCTGAGGGTAACTGCCAAGACATACACACACACACACACACACACACACACACACACACACACACACACGACACATTTGCAAGTTGGCACCCAGGAAATCTCACAACAGAAAGCAAGAACCCATCACCAGACTGGGAATCAGCAGAGTTGTCCAACAAGAGAGATGCCCCAGGGCTAGAGTGAGTGGGTGCAGATCAGGCTGTCGATCAACTCCTCATACTTGGGAAAGACAGCCAGGACCCACGTAGGAAAACCAGGGCAACGGGTGGGGAGAGGGGGCTGGAGAGATGGCTCAGCGGTTATGAGCACTGACAGCTCTTCCAGAGGTCATGAGTTCAATCCCCAGCAACCACATGGTGGCTCACAACCATTCATAATGAGATCTGGCGCCCTCTTCTGGCCTGCAGACATACATGCAGACAGAACACTGCATACATAATAAATAAATAAATCTTAAAAAAAAAAAAAAAAAAAGCACTGACTGCTCTTCCAGAGGTCCTGAGTTCAATTCCCAGCACCCACATGGTGGCTCACAACCATCTGTAATGAGATCTGGTGCCCTCTTCTGGCCTGCAGTCATACATGCTGTATACACAATAAATAAATAAATCTTTAAAAGAAGGGCCATACAGGCCGGGCGGTGGTGGCGCATGCCTTTAATCCCAGCACTCGGGAGGCAGAGCCAGGCGGATCTCTGTGAATGAGATCTAGCCTGGTCTATGGAGCCAGTTCCAGGCTAGCTAGCCAGGGCTACACAGAGGAAACTCTGCCTCAAAAAATGAGAGGGGTGGGGAGAGGGAGAGAGACAGAGAGGGAGAAAGAGAGAGAGAGAGAGAGGAAGAGGAAGAGAGAGGGGTAGGGAGAGAGGGGGAAAGAGAGAATGAGAATGATGAGCCAATGAAAGGGGACAGGCAAGAGATGCCTTGGTGCTCCGTGTACACAGGCTTCAATACTATACTAAATTCATTCACTCACTCAAACCCTCACTCATGGCTATGGATCAAAAATCACAGATTGGTACCTGAATACTTTGTGTCTGTGGAAACAGGACGCTGTCTCCGCCCTCACAGTTCAGTAAGGTAAGTACAATCCGCAGCACAAGGTGACGTAAGAGCAGAAAGGAAGACGAGACCGACTGCATGAGAGGAGAAGGAAGTTTAGGAGTTTCTATGGAGACAACATCAGCCTTTCCCCCAAAGGAGGAGCAAGGGCAAAGTGAGAAAGTGCAGCACACGGACGCTTCATGTTGTGCCCACAGACTGGGGCATTTCAAGCTCACACACTGCAGGGACACAGTGACACATGATTTGACATCAGATCGAAGACAGTGTTAGGCTTTTGTCCCACGAGCTATGATGGGCCAGATCAAAGGGTCGTAGAGCGAGAACTGAAGAAGAAACAAGAAAATCGCGTGGTTGGGGGTGATGTCACAAACCCACTGTCACATGAGGAGGGGTATGTGTCTTAGTCACTGCTTTTACTGCTGTGAAGAGACACCATGACCACGGCAACTCTTACAAAAGACAGCATTTAACTGGGGGCCTGCCTACCCATCTCAGGCTCAGTCCATTAGCAGCATCACGGCAGGGAGCATGATGGCGAAGCGTAGGTTCTCTTTGCCTAACTAGCTCTTACAACCTGTCAGCCACCACAGCACCACAGACTCGGCACTTGTATCTAGGGTCTCCCATTCCACCCCTCCCGGGACAGGAAGGGCTACGGGCACTATCCCACTTGATAGATAAGAACTAAACTTCTGCTGGGTAGCGGCGGCACATGCCTTTAGTCCCAGCACTCCGGAGGCAGAGCCAGGCGGATCTCTGTGAGTTCGAGGCCAGCCTGGTCTACAGAGCAAGATCCAGGACAGGCACCAAAACTACACAGAGAAACCCTGTCTCGAAAAACCAACCAACCAAACAAACAAAACAAAACAAAAGAACTAAACTTCTCCAAGGAAAGGCTGACAACCCTTCCTGAGTGAGGTCCCTGACAGGGTCTCACTGAGCAACCGTGTCATAGCAAGCCCTGAGAGACTGCTTCTGCTCACTAGCACTTGTAGGTAGCACTGACCCTTCTCTTGGACCTGTTGGCCAATGGGTAGCCAAGAGCGAGGGGACAAGGCTTGGTGTGTCTGCCTTCTGGTTTCATTTGCCTCCTTTGTCTTAAAACTCCGGGTCAGACTCTTGTTCCAGTCTGCACAGGGATGTGTTAATCATTGAAGGAGTGTCTGTTGAAAAACTGGTAATACAGGAGTTGATTAGCACAGAATTTACCTAACCTATCTCATCCCTCTTCAAGAGCAAAAGCATGAAGATAAGATAAATAAGGTATTTTCCAGACTGGTGGAGAGTCCAGCTGTCAGCTTTTACAACATCCTGCTCTGGATCCCCTGGAGTCTGGCCTAGAAGTTTCCAGTATCCCCTAGACTTGTAGTCACATGGATTCCAGGAACACTGAAGCCTCACTCAGACAGACCACTTCATGATGAGATCATCCCCTAAGTGGGATCAATTACCCCATGACAGTAACTGAACGCCCCTAGCCCCAAGGCAGAGCAATCATCTCACAGGAACTGAATTGCACATGTGCACACACACACGCACACACACACACACACACACACCCCTTCATCCGATGTTAAATGCTAGCCACTTCATGTGTAAACTGGAGAGACACATAATAGAAAGGTTAAAATTTAACATACATAGAAATGATCCACCGACAGGTGCTCCCTCCTGAGTTCTCCCCACATCTAGGCTTGCCCTAAATCAGGGTGGGGTTCTGAAGTTAGCCCACGAAGAGCCTCAAGCTCTGCCTAGTCACTGATACTCAGGAGACAATGGAACAATGGAAAGCAGGAAAGAACCAAAAGGTGCTGCCCTGAGAGAACACAGCCTCTCCAGGGGTGTCAGTGACCCACCCCCCTCACCCTTCTAAGCCTGTTCAGCTCTGCAGAGCCACAACTGTCCCACCCCAGTGTCTCCTCACCAGGACCCCTGTGGCCATGCTCTTCATTACTAATAAGTCTCCCCTCCAAGCAGAGGGAAGGTGGAGTCCTGCCTCCAAGTCTCTAAAGAAGTGATTATTCTAGCAATGACTTATAAAAGAATGCTCAAGGGGCTGGAGAGAGCTCAGTGGGAAAAGAGGTTGCCTTTGTAGCATGGGTGTGTGTACCGTAGGGTACCTGTGTAATCCCAGCCTGGCCTACCGGTGAGTTCTGAGTCAGCAAAAGAACCCTGTGTCAAAAGAAAGATGGACAGCTCCTGAAAATGACACCCAAGGACATCCTTTGATCTCCAAATACACCGGCATGCACCCACCCACCCATGTGCATGCATGTATGCACGCACGCACACGCGCACACACACACACACACGCACACGAGCACTATTCAGAAAGAACCATAGATGTGAGCTCTTTGAGGAGTGCTGGAATTATAACGTCTGGCCAGATCCTGACTCCCCAGTCTTGATCATCGGCAGGCCCCTTGACTCCAACAACCGCATCAATCCACCTTACTCTTAGCCTAGAGATCAGGCTAAAAAGCATAGAGCAAAATAATGTGAGGAAAAGCTGCTTGGGAACCTTTGTGAACCCCAGACCAGGAAGTGGGCAGGTGTGTGAACCCAGTTCAGAGTGGACCCAGGAGCCCCAGGAGCCTTGGGAGAACACACGAAGGAAGGGGGTTCCCAGCCAGACGCTTCCCTCTCTTCCCCCCTCATGTAACCATGTCTAAAAGGTTCTAAAGAAAGTGAGAGCAGCTGCTTTGCCCCTGGCCACCGTCTGCTGATAATAAATATTTTATGAACCTCAGGCATTTGAGAAGCTGCTCTGATGTTACAACCCATGCAGAAGCTAACTCCCACTCCCAAAGGGGAGGTCTTGAATTTCACCCTAATCTCACCTCAGGGCATAAGGCCCAAACCATCAGGAGTCTACTTTCAATACGTGTAAGTAAAAAAATCTGCCTGGGGACATGTCTGCAAAGGGCTTGTCAGCATGAAAGCCATTTCCAGGCAAAGCCTGGGATTCCTCACAGTGGTAAAGGACCAAGGACCCTGTGTGAAAAGGATTTTGAAAAGACCCACAAAAGCCCACACACTGGATGGCTGCTGGCCAGAAGTTCCAGTGACCTCACTGCCCTGATCCTGGGCCTCGGGTCAGCAGCGGCTGACAGAAAGAAGACTGACGTCTGACAGTCAGCACGAGCTCAAAGTGACCCAAACAAGGACCTTGCTGCTAGTGGGCTCCCCACTCCCACGATGGCTGCTCCATCTTCACGTTGCTCAGGCCAAGAACACAAAGCTATCCTGAGTCCCTCAACCCCTATCTCCAGTTCATCAGAAAATCCTACTGGTTCTGTGTTCAAAAAATACCCACCTCCCCCACGACACCCTGAACCAGGGCTTCTTATGTCTTCCAGGAGAATTCCTGGAAGCAGGAGTTTGTTTTTCTAGTCTATTCTTTTTTCTTTCTTAATTTGTCATGTATGACTGTATGTATATATTACACCACATGTGTACCTGGTGCCCAGAGAATCCAGAAAAAGGGCATCTTTTAAACTTTAAACCGTAAACTGGAGTTACAGACAGTTGTGAGCCGCCTTGTGGATGCTGGGACCCAAGCCCAGGTCCTCTGCAAAAGCAGCAAGGTTTCTTAACAGCTGAGCCATTTCTCCAACCCGCTTCTTCTCTTCTTAATCCAACAGCCAGAGTGACTGAGTCTCCCGAAATGTCCGTCGGGTCCTGTCAGCCCTCTGTAATGGCTGCTCTATCTACCGACCCAGTCTCCTCCAGACACTCGCTGCCTCTCTCCCTCTACACATCACCTGCTCGAGGCCTGCTATGACCAATCGTCTGTGATCATGCCTCCCTCTTCAGCTCTACCCTTTCTCTTTGCACATGCTTAATTCCTACTTTACTGGTTATATTTACTGTCTATTGTGTCCTTTGCTTTAGCACCATTAGGGGACACATGAGGACCGGGTTCTGGCCATAGTTTTGCTCAGTGGTTTATTGCCAGTGTCTACCATAGTACCTGGCACACAACAGGTACTCAATAAATATTTGCCGAGTTGTTGAACATTTATTTCCCCAATTCACAGGCCTCTAAACAGGAGAGATGAGGCTAGCATCTACGTCAATGGGCTCACAGAAAACTGTTCACACTCTTCAGCTGACTGAACGGATGAGACTCGGGCTTAAGAGTCTTGTGGGAGGAACAGATGATAAGCACATGTGTTTCTGTCAGGTGACAATCCAGGACTGTGAAGAAATACACAGAGAGGTTCAGGAAGAGGGGATGGAGCAGGGTTGGACATGGCAGTCAGAGAAGCGCGGTCTGATAAAAAATGACTGAGTAGAGAACTGAATAAAGTGAGAGCTATCCATGCAGGCAGCCAGAGAAAGAATATTCCAGGCAGATGCACAGAGGCACTGAGTTAGGGGGTTTGTTTAGCATATCTAAAGAACCAGGAGAAGGTCACAGAAAGGATGAATAATTTCACGGTCTGTGCTGACCTTAGAAACATGCTATCATAGCACTGAACTAGAAACCACTCCCGAGTCCACTAATAGAGAGGGTGAGTGTGACGGACACGCCGTGCAGCAGGAAGCAAGCTCACCACAACGGCATGAATGAATCTCCAAAGTGCAGCAAAGAGAGGCATGTGGGAGCGCTCAAGGTTTGACCCCATTCGTGGGAAGTTTCAAGGCAAAGCTAGGCTGTAGGCGCACAGAGAAGCGGTAAGGCTATAAAGAAACAACTCTGATGAAAGTCTAGATAAGATCTGGGTGGGGATGGGAGGCGGGTAGCAACATCCATCTCTTATCTTGATTGGTGGTTACAGGAGTGTGCCCTGTACAGCTTTTATACCAACTGCCTTGTCTGTGACAGCATTTACACATACATGTGTGAAGTTCAGCACTTGAGAGGCAGAGAGGTAGATGGATCTCTGTGAATTCGAGGCCAATCTGATTTACATAGTGAGTTCCAGGACAGCCAGGGCTACATACCTTGTCTCAAAAAAAAAAAATAAAAATAAAACATAATTCAGGATATTGCCAAATATTGAAAGAGTCTTTAGGTACAGTGTCTCACCAAACAAAACTATTTTCCCAAAAGGCAAAAAAAGAA